AAATACCTTGGTAAAACTTTCCTCATACTTTATGTATGAGAGATGTAGGAAAAGCTTAATTCACCTTAAGCTTCCTCTCCCACAGAAATCTTACAAAAAAGTTATTCTCCAGATGAATAAATAATTGCAGGTTGTAGTGTTCTGCCCTGAACTTTATGCTAAGCTTCATATTTTTGGATGAAAGAGCTACAGTGAGACTCTTTTCTGCAGGTTGCGTCTGACTTTTTTCTGTTTTTGTGGGGAGGGGGACTCACTCTGCATGCCTCCATTACCAGGTAACGGCAGGTATAGGAAGTGGCAGTGTCCAAAATACCTCAGAAATTCTGTGAAATTCCCGGTTTTATACTGGATTCCATTTTGGGTTTTTTTTATTCCGCAATTCCATCTGCATTTAATGCATCATGGAAATCATAGGACCCTACATATCCCAGTCCTATTCATAATTTTTTTTACACACCTGGGAAATTTTTCCACGTATCCCATTATATGCTTGCGTACCACTAGGGGGATGCATACCTCTGTTTGGGAATCACTGCTCTAAAGCGTACTTGCCATAGCCTTGAGTGCTGACCTCACTCGTCCTCTGACAGCTGCCACGGTAAGAGGCTGTTGGCCTTAATCTACTGTACGTCTGGCGTTTGGTGAACCTCCAGCTCATTTGGGGCTCACTGGTTAAGAGAACATAATAATTCAGCATAACTCTGTTCTTCCTTTCTTCCTCTCTATCTCACCCTCATCCTCAGACCACATACATAGGGCTTCACTCACGCACCCACATAGTGTAAAGTGTTTTAACTTAAAGAGTATCCTTGTAACAATTATCAAGACCTTAGAACTGTTTCAGTTCAGTCTACCACGACAAGAGCTTTTAGTTAACCAAATAATCACTCAATTGTAACCCATTTCTTCAATTTTATTTTAAATAAAAGCCTGGCTATGTTGTAGAAGGCAGAAAATAAAATTAGGACTCTTTTCTGTGTATTTTGGTAGATGATTGTTTTGTATAACTTGGGCCTTTCGAATCTAGAGATACTTTCCATTAAAGTCTTACTTGAGATTTTGATAGGGAGGTATCACTACATAGGTTCACACCGAATGCGCTTTGAGCAG